AGAAACAAAGCGGGAGGTATCACACTTTCAGACTTTAAACTTCAAGGCTACATAATCAAAACAGCCTGGTATTGGTACAAGAATAGGAATATGGACCAATGGAACAGGATAGAGATTCCAGAAGCAAAACCTCAATTTCTCAACCAACTCATCTTTGAAAAAGCCACCACCAACAACCACTGGGGAGAGAAGAACCTATTCAGTAAATGGTGCTGGGAAAACTGGTTGACTACATGCAGAAGATTGAAACAGGACTCCTACTTATTACCATACACAACAGTCAGCTCTAAATGGATCAAAGACCTAAACATAAAACCTCAAACTATAAGAACCTTAGAAAATGCAGGAGATACCCTTATGGAAATCGGAACTGGCAACCGATTCCTGACCAAGACCCCAAATGCCCATGCCATAAAAGACAAGATAGACAAGTGGGACCTCATCAAACTAATAAGCTTCTGCAAAGCAAAAGAAATCATCAAGAGAGCAAGGAAACAGAATGGGAAAAAATATTTGTCAACTGTATATCTGACAAAGGCCTAACATCCAGGATCTACAAGGAATTCAAATGTGCTGAAAGGAAAAAAACAAACAGCCCCATTAAAAATTGGGCAAAAGACAAGAATAGGCACTTCTTAAAAGAAGATATACGGGCAGCCAACAGACACATGAACAAGTGCTCAGCCTCACTCATCATCAGAGAAATGCAAATCAAAACCACACTGAGATACCATCTAACCCCAAAAAGAATGGCTATCATTAATAAAACAAACAACAGCAGATGCTGGTGAGGATGTGGAGAAAAGGTAATGCTTCTATACTGTTTGGTGGGAATGCAAACTAGTGCAATCTCTTCGGAAAACAGTGTGACGATTTCTAAAAATACTAGACTTTGGGCCGGGCTCGGTGGCTCAGCCTGTAATTCCAGCACTTTGGGAGGCTGAGGCAAGTGGATTGCCTGAGCCTATGGGTTCGAGACCCAACTGGGAAACCTGGTGAGACCTCGTCTTTGCAATAAATCAAAAACTAGCAGGGCGTGGTAGTGCGCGCCTGTAGTTCCAACTACTTGGAAGGCTGAGACGGAAGGCTCGCCGGAGCCCAGCAGGTGGAGACTGCAGTGGTTGAGAGCATGCCCCTGCACTCCAGCCTGGGCGACAGAGTGAGACTTCGACTCAAAAAAAACAAAAACAAAAACAAAACTAGACACTGACCTTCCATATGATCCAGCAATCCCCCAACTGGGAATATATCTGGAGGAACTCAAATCATTCTACAAAAAAGATACCTGCACATGCATGTTTACTGCAGCACTATTCACAATAGCAAAAACATGGAACCAACTGTGCTGCCCATTGAAACTGTACTGGATAAAAAAATGTGGTACATATACACAATGAAATATTGCACAGCAATAAAAAAGGACAAAGATATGGACTTTGGACTCACAGCAACTTGGATGAACTTAGAGTCTATAATACTGAGTGATCTATCACAGAAACAAAGAACAGAGTACCACATGTTCTCACTCATAAGCAGACCCTGAACATTTACCACAATACTATAAGAAAGGGATTGGCAGTAGCAGGATACTGTCGGGGTGGGATGGGGGGGTGGGGGTGCAACTTCAATATATGTCCCTGATCTCCAACCAGGAAGTGGGGACCAAAGGGAGGCCAAACTTTACCTGCATGATGATCACTGGTATACCTAATCCTGAATTGTACCCCACATCTTTAGATACATAAATCAAATTGAATGACACTCACACAGCATCAGAACAACAGAACTACAGAGCCCTTCCTCTAGACAAGTACCCATTATTTATACACATCTGCCTTGTCCACATTACTCAGGAACACATTTCTGTAAAGAGCTGTACTGCTTTACATTGTTTGAAAAATTTTTTGCCAAAAGGTTTTGAGATGGCTATACTCCACTTTCTTTTTTTTTTTTTTTGAGTTGGAGTCTCTCACTCTGTCGCCCAGACTGGAGTGCAGTGGCCGCTCCCGGCCACTGTAGCCTCGACTTGCTGAACTACAGGTGCGCACTACCACGCCCAGCTAATTTTTGGTTTATTGTAGAGATGAGGTCTCGCCAAGTTGCCCCGGCAGGTCTCAAATATACTCCACTTTCAATAGCTTCTCAATTTCCCCCCAAATTGAATAGTTATAAATATCCCTGTGCAAATAGCTTTTCATATTGGATTATTTTCTTGAGACATAGTCTTAAAATGACCAGCATTAGATCACTGGTAGGCCCAATTTTACAGATCATTGCTTTTGCATGGTCATAATAATAGTAATAATGCAATAAGAATAATGCAATATCTAAATTCTGATAATACTTGCTTTTTTCCTCAGCCCTACCAACACTGGTTTTGAACACTTGTGCTAATTGTGCTACTCTGAGGTGTGAGGTTTTGCTTATCATTTTCTTTTTAACTTGGGTCTTGGGAGTATGGTGGTGTGATCACAGGTCACAATAGTCTCAACCTCCTGGGCTCAGGAGATCCTTCTGCCTCAGCCTCCCAAGTAGCTGGGACTACAGGCACAACCATGCCTGCCTAATTAAAAAAAAATTTTGTGTGTGTGTGTGAGACAGGTACTATGTTGCCCAATCTGGTCTCAAACTCCTGGGCCCAAGCAATCCTGTTGTCTTAGCCTCCTAAAGTGCTGGGATTACAGGTGTGAGCCACCACACCTGGAGAAAATAATTTTTTATTCAAGTATTTACTGCCACAGAAAGGCGGGGAACTGAGGCAGACACCACCCCACCCTCACAGAGATTACAGTCACTAATTACCAGCCCCATATTATAGGCAAATCTCTGAACCTCAGCTTCCTGATTTTCAAAATAGGGATAGAGTCCCTATTACTAAACATCAAATGAAATCATGTGTGTGTGCAAACTGAACTATGATGAAATGTTTAGGACTTGCTGTTATCTGGAAAATATTCTCTCGTGGGAACATACTGATTCACTCACAAGCGTTTGTTAAGGATTTATCTTGTGCTGTCCTAAGTGCAGAACTAGGCTTTAGTAACCTACCTTATTTCAGAGTAGGCTGTTTTTCTTTAAAGATTCGTATAGAGCTGGGCTCAGTGGCTCAGCCTGTAATCCCGCGCCTTTGGGAGGCTGAGGTGAGTGGATTGCCTGAGCCCGCGGGTTCGAGACCCACCTGGGCAGCGAGACCTCATCTCTACGATAAATCAAAAAATCAGCCGGGCGTGGTAGCGTGCGCCTGTAATTCCGGCTACTTGGAAGGCTGAGGTGGAAGGATCGCCGGAGCCCAGCAGGTCGAGGCTGCGGTGGCCGGGAGCAGCCACTGCACTCCAGTCTGAGCAACTGAGTGAGACTCCACTCAAAAAAAAAAAAAAAGAAAAAAGAAAAAAAAGCTGGGCTCAGTGGTTCAGCCTGTATCCCAGCACTTTGGGAGGCCGAGGCGAGTGGATTGCCTGAGCCCACGGGTTCGAGACCCGCCTGGGCAACTTGGCGAGACCTCATCTCTACAATAAATCAAAAATTAGCTGGGCGTGGTAGTATGAGCCTGTAGTTCCAGCTACTCGGAAGGCTGAGGCGGAAGGATCACCGGAGCCCAGCAGGTCGAGGCTGCGGTGGCCGGAAGCGGCCACGGCACTCCAGTCTGGGCGACAGAGTGAGACTCCAACTCAAAATAAATAAATAAATAAATAAAGATTCGTATAGATTTTTTTATATAGCCTGAACAGCAAACTTTGTTGTGTCGATCAGTAATAAACTTCTCCCTCCCCCATTATAGTATTCAGTTTCTATTTTGTCTTTGGGTTTTATTATATAAAATTTAATTTTGGCTGGGTGCGGTGGCTCACGTGTGTAATCCCAACACTTTGGCAGGCTGAGGTGAGAGGACTGCCTGAGCCCAGGGGTTTGAGACCAGCCCGGGCAACTAGGCGAGACCTCGGTTCTACAATAGCGCGTGCCTGTGGTTTCAGCTACTTGGAAGACTGAGGTGGAAGGATCGCCTGAGCCCAGCAAGCTGAGGCTGTGGTGGCTATGAGCATGCCACTGCACTCCAGCCTGGGCAATGGATTGAGACTCCATTAAAAAAAAAATTTTAATTTTATGTTATCAAATCCATTAATCACATCATTAATGACATTTTAAGCTTTGCTTTCAATAACCTCAAAATTGTATCCCTTCTGGTTTTCTTCTAACATTTCATGTTTTAAAAAAAGTACTTTCGGCCGGGCTCGGTGGCTCAGCCTGTAATCCCACGCTTTGGGAGGCCGAGGTGAGTGAATTTCCTGAGCCCGCAGATTCAAGACCTGCCTAGGCAACTTGGCAAGACCTCATCTCTACAATAAATCAAAAAAAAATTAGCTGGGCATGGTAGCGCGTGCCTTTAGTTCCAGCTACTTGGAAAGCTGAGGCAGAAGGATCACCGGAGATCAGCAGATCGAGGCTGCGATGGCCAGGAGTGGCCACTGCACTCCAGTCTGGGCGACTGAGTAAGACTCCCAACTCAAAAAAAAAAAAATAGTACTTCCTTGACTCATATGAAGTTCAGTGTGATCTATTTTTCTCCAGTTGCTATATTTGCCACAGCATTAACCATGTGACAGCTCCATTTTTCAGCATTTTGTTTCATTCAATGTTTTATGCATTATTACATGGTATATAAGGGGTGTTTGTATCCATCTTAAGGATTTTATTCTCTTGCTGCTTTGTTTCCCTGCTTTAAAGCAGCATCACTTGTTAAGCATAATGTATCTTTTAGGCATGATGGGGAAAGTTGCCCAGTGGCTACTTTTCTCCAAAGCATTGCTTGGCCTCTGTGGTAAGCCTGCTGCCAACTCTAGAGCATGGTCCTGTCTCTGGAAAGTCCTGAGCTCTCCCTCTACCTGCTGCTCTTTAGGTGAGTGCTTTTGGGTGAGTGCTTTGTGGCTCTGTCAGCCATGTGGCTGTCCCTGTAACCAGGGACTTAGGGGAAGGCTCTCTGTTCCGCTGGAGACTGTACTTACCCAACCTGTATCAGGCCTCTTCTCTGCCAGGGTTCGGACAAAGTCTGTGCCCTGTGGGAAGCAGATTGAGATGTGAAGGCAGCACCAGCCTGCACCCGCACCTTCCTCAGGTCAACGCCGGCAGGCAGGAACCCACCGAGAAGGGCCGGACTCACTCGACTTGGATCCAGCAGCTGCTCTATTTGCCGGTCCTTCCTGCTGTTTTCCTCTTCCAGGCGCCGAAGCTTTGTTCTCATCAGGTCCACGTCACTCTTCTGCATGTGCAACGACTGGGGGAAGAAGGCCCACGCACAGGCCCGTCACACACGCAGCGGGCACACAGAAGACACTGGGGCAACACTGAGTTGCAGAGGGATTTTCAAAGCCACCTGGCTCCCACTCAGGGCACTGTGTGTGGCAGTGGGGGAGGGGCGGGGGGCTCTGGATGTCACAATGAAGGGCACTGAAGGGCACTCCTGGCATTTAGTGGGTGGGGACAGGGGAGGCTCAAAGCCCTTGATGTACAGGAAAGTCCCATGCAGCGAAGAGCCATCCCACCCAAAATGCCAACAGCACCCTCACTGAGAAACACTGTCCTAAGAAATGTGCCAACAAATTAACGCTGCAAACTAGGTCCTGGAAACGGGCAGTGTCACGTGCTCTCTTCTGTGACCACAAGAGGAAGCCTATTTTTGTCATGCCACATACCACTAAAACTCAACAAAGGCTAATATTGCTTTCAAATGCTTATTCTCAACCGAGGATCAATGAGGGGCACTGGTTCCCAAACTTTATCTGTGGATAAAATTTTTACCAATCTAGTGAATTGAGGGGGGGAAAAGGACTGTGTAGTCAATGTTCCATGAACTAAGTTTATTTAGTTTCTACAACGATGCTGTATTTTGAAATTATATCTTTCCTATTATTTTGTACTTACATGGTCCTTTTATAAAAGTGATGATAGGGTAGGGTATTTTTAATTTTTGTCTTTCATGTGCTCATTTGAAAAAGCTGCTCACTAGCCCATGAAGCCCAACAGCCTGAAAGCAGAAGGTGAAGAGCATGGCTGCCTGGGCCTCAGCATCAGCCTGCATCTGACTGGCCAGTTATCCAGTGAATGCCTTCTCTCAAGGGGCTGGTGATGCTCTGAAGAGAGATGGACATCTGAGCAAAACCAGCCACCACCAGTGGAAAGACAAGTGAAGTGCACATCCCACAGAGGGATAGCTTGTCGCATCAGCCACAACCACGGTTGGCAGGACTGCCAGGATTGCTATAGATAAACCTAAAGAAGCAAGAAGCACGACGGGTAACTGGCACTCAATGAATGGCCACTGAATACATTAGTCAATGCACAGCCATTGACAGAGATAAGAAATCTGCCATTGAGAACTCTCCTTCTAGGAATAGGAAGTAGCAATATTACTATCAGATAAAGTTCACTTCAGAGAATAGAAAACTGCCAGAACAGAGGACATAACACAATAATTTAAAAGGTTAGTCCCCCAGAAAGACACAGCAGTCCTGAAGACATATGCACCGAAGAACAGAGCTGTGAAATATGTGAGCAAAAATGGAAAGAACTGAAAGGAGAAAGTGACAAATCCACAATATGGCTGGAGACTTCAATATCCTTCTCTCAGCAATTGATAATACAGGGATTCAGAAGAGCCCAACACCACCATCAACCAACAGTATCTAACTGACATGTACCAAACATGCCATCCAACTGCAGAATGTGCATCCTTTTCAGAGTCGCATTAGAGATACATCAAGCTCAGAATACAAATTAGCTGGGCGTGGTGGCACACACCTACAGTCCCGGCCGCTCGGGAGGCTGCAGAGAGCTGATCCTTCCACCCAGGAGCAGGAGGCTACAGTGAGCCATGATCATGCCACCGCACTCCAGTCTGGGTGGCAGAGTGAGACCCGACTCAAGAAAAAAAAGAACGGAAGAAAGAACATATAATAATGTGCTGGATTAGAGAGCAAATCTCAATACGTTTAAAGAACTGAAATTACGTAGAATGTATTTTATAGCCACAACAGAATCAAACTCAAAGTCATAACAAAAATAACAGGAAAATCTCCAAACATTTGGAAACTAAACAACACAGTTACAAATAACCTATGTCTCCAAGAGTCTTAAGAGAAATAATTTAATAAAAATTTAACTGAATGAAAATGAAGATACAACATATACAAATGACAGCAGATCAAGACATTTGTAGGACTCAGCTACAGAAGTGGAAAGAACTGTGGCCACACACAACTGTGTTTTTTTAGAGACACAGTCTTGCTCTGTCACCCGGTCAGGCTGAGGCGTATGGTGTGATCATAGCGCACTGCAGTCTTGCACTTCCGGTGGGCTCAAGTGATCTTCACACCTCAGCCTACTGAGTAGCTGGGGCTGCACTCACACACGTCGCCACACCAGGCTAATTCTTTTCATTTTTTTTCTGTAGAGATGGGATCTTGCTATGTTGTGCAGGCTGTTCGCAAACTCCTGACCCCAAGCGGTTTGTCTTAGCCTCCGAGAGTGCTGGGATTAGGGTCGCGAGCCACCATGCCCAACCAACAATGGAGATGGCTCTCAAGGGCTACACTGAGTAAAAACGCCAACCTCAAAAGGTCACACACTGTATGATTTCATTGACACAACATTATCAAAATGCCAAAACTAAAGAGATGGAGAACAGATGCATGGTTGCCAGGGTTTAGGATGGCAAGAAGGGAGGGGAGTACATGTGACTAGAAAGAGGCACCACAGGGACATCTCTGTGGTGGTGGGACAGTTCCACATCTTGACAGCAGCAGCAGTGATGTGAATCCATCCCTGTCAAATGACACAGAACCACACACACATTGGACCAATGACAATGTAAGACGTAACCACAGGGGGAGACTGGGAGAAGGGTTCAAGGGACCTCTCCACACTATCTTTGCAAATTCCTAGGAATCTGGAATTATTTCTAGTAAGTTTCTAAAAAAATGGTCTGTATTTATTAATCTCCTACTGTATATCAGGCACTATACTGAAGCACATTCATGATTTTATTGAATTCTCACAATGACCCTATGAAATTGATACTATTATCATCTCCATTTTAAAATAGGAAAATAAGGTATTCTTTGTCATAGAAAAATGACCCTGATGTTCAAGATCCCAGAGTAACAGATTATTGAAAACAAAAGTCTCGTTTTTCTGAACTTAGAAGTCTAGGCAAATTTTATCCAGAAATCCATACAGGTAAGTTTGTTTATCCAGAGACCCATTTTCTAGCTTCAAGAAGATTCCTTCCGAGAATATCACTGGTGATTACTCAGAGTTTCAGGGACTCTCAGAGTCCATCCAGTACAGCCTTCTAACCTAAAAGAGAATTCTTTCTGTAATATCCCTGACAAGCACTCGCCTGATCTTTGCTAGAACCTCCAAGGAAAAGGAGTGTGCTCACTTCCCAGGCAGCACTCTCAGTGCTAGCCAGTGTGATGATAACGGTGCCCAATAATGGTGGCAGAAATCATCATGATGACATATTTCAGTGCAATTCACACTTTAGTGAATGGGAGAGGACATGGGGTAACACAAAGAATCTGGGCCTTAGGAGGCAGATGACCACGAATCTTGGTTCTGCTACTGGTTAACTGGACAGATCGCTAACTCTTTTCTCTCAAGTTCATCACCAAATAACAACCAGCCCCGCCTATGTCACAGAGTTTCTGAAGAGAACAACAGAGATCAGGCATGTGAAACGTCTTGGTAACACCAAAGGCTTATGTGAATGGAAGGTTACTGACAATAATTTCAAATAATCTAACCATAACGTCAAATCTCAGGATGCAAAGGGACTTTGAATTTAAACTAGTTCTTACAGTCTTCTCCACCATGCTGGAGAAGCAGAACACAGACAGAATGTAAACATTCTTGATTCATGTAGCTGGTGCTACAGGCCTTTATTTAACCAGGGACACCCAGCTCCTGAGGCATGATGCCATGTTCACTCTCAGGTGCAACTCTATACAGTTCATGTTCTTTCCATGTGGATACATCCCAGGACTGACACTGAAGTTTTAATCCATTGTTACAGAAGGCTCTCATTGTTTAAAATCAACAAAGAACAGATGGAAATACTACCTTCTTTAGCTCAATAATTTCATCATACATATCTTCTTTCTCTCTGTAGACAGGAGTCGCAGGGACAAGACCTAGAGAAAAATAAACAAATCTCTTAAAATATTATCTGAAAAGTAGAAATAATTATTGGTTATATATCAAGGAAAACCTGGAAGTTAATAAAATTCACCTGTAAAAAAAAAGAGGAAAGTAAAAAACAGCAAAAAATTTCAATATTTTTACTTTCTCAAAAAGCAAGGAAACCAGGAATGATAATGATACAGAAAGACAAAGCAAAATAAAAATAAATAGGCAGGTCGGTCACAATGCCTCATGCCTATAATCTCAATGCTTTGGGGGGAGGATCGCTTTAGGCCAGGAGTTTGAGACCAGCCTGGGCAACAGAGCGAGACCGTATCTAGCTGGATATAGTGGTACATGCCTGTAATCCCAGCTACTTGGAAGGCTGAGGCAGGAGGGTTGCTTGAGCCCAGGAATTCAAGGCTGCAGTGAGTTACAATTGTGCCACTGCATCTCAGCCTGAAAGACAGAGCAAGACCCTGCCTCTTAAAAAAACCCAAAAAACAAAAAGGAAAGAAAACAAAAAAGAAAGATAAGGATGTAACCACAAAGTTTAATTGTTGTAAAAGGATTAAAGAAGGAAGTAACAAAAGAGAACTGTCCTTCCCTGCAGAGGGCTGTAAGGAAGGTCAAGCAGGAAACACAGAGAAGGACTAGAGAGGAATACAAAAGCATGAAGACAAGCTGATTCTTCTCAGGGTGGTTCAAGCTTTTTAACATTATTCACCATCTTTGTTTCGATATTATTTATTTAATAAGTTTAAATATGACTTTCCATTTAGGAAGGTGGGCACAACGGGGCCTGGCAAGATGTCACTATGAAAGCCACCTTCTAGCGGGGCAGAATGGACTTTCATGAGTCACTGTCCTGAAGATGTTCCAAAATGACATGCTGATAGAGCATGTCCGTGAAGCCCAAAACGTCACTGTGACAAAGGACACTGCAAATCCAAGTGACTTTCCTTTCTGCTTCTTCTTACTCATGACCTTGTCACCATCAACCGGCTCACTGTTGCTGGCAAAAGGCCTGAGTTTGACCTCTTCACTACTAAGGCTTCTGTCAGATAGTCAGGAGTGCTGCAGTGGGGCAGGGTGGGGAGTGCTGGTCCATGCATGCTCTAGGCTGAGGTTTGAGTTCAGGGGTTGGGTCAGAATTCCTGATTTGGATGTGCATGGGTTTAATATGACAGGCACAAGCAAACACAATGGGAGGCTTTGCTTCTAATCAACCTTCCTGGGTCGATGAGAACAAGTCACCAGTAGATATCAGATACCAGCAGTCAGTGGTATGCTGACACATGTTTAATGACCAGTTCTTTTTTTTTTTTTTTGAGATGG